TCTTTATTGTCAGTGCCCTTGTCAACAGCATTCCAGAGCCATCGGGCTCTGAGCTTGACCTTCATGGTCACCGCCCACTCGCAATAGTTGGTGCGACTCAGCGTCGGCCAACCAGTGCCGCTGACCTCCCACACCATGCGCACAACGACCTCCTGTCATGGTTGGGCAGCCACAGCAGCGCCGCTGCTGTCGCTCATCTCTAAACCGTCCGTCATCGCTAGCGGTTAGTCCGGTGACGGCGCTTGTACGGCTCTGATACAACTTGTTGATCCCTGGCTGCCCTGCACAGGTAAGAAACTAGCTTACCAGCACACTCACTCGCTCACTATGGCTAGAGGTAGAAGAAGAGACTGAGAACAGCACACACACACACTCAGCATAAGCACCAGTGTTGGTCGAAGCCCTGCCCTTTTGTTTTGTGGCAACTGAACTGAGTATTCCATTTTTCTTTGGATGGAATATATACAACTCTAGTTGTACCTCTACCAGGTACATAGTTGTTGGCCAACTACCTACTCCTGAGTACAAGAGTACACCAACTACCTACTCCTAAGGTACAGGGTACACTAACTACTTACTCCTAAGGTACAGAGTATACCAACTACTTCTAGCAGTACAAAACTTACCTCAACCCACTACCAGAACATGGCTGATGTAATAGCTATCAACTAATGTACTAGCTACCACTACTGGACTCGCATGCTTTGCCGAGGGCCTCTGGCCCTCGGCAAAGGCCCAGAAACCCTCGGCAAAGGCTTTGCCGAGGGCTGCCCTCGGCAAAGACCCATCGGGGAATTTTTAGACGGCGAAGGGGTCTTTACCGAGGGCCTTTTATCGGGCACTCGGCAAAGCCTTTGCCGAGGGCCAGGACGGCCCTCGGCAAAGAAAAGAAGCCGTCACGCGCCGGCGCCGTTGGCGGTTTCTTTGCCGAGGGCCGACCCTCGGCAAAGAAATGGTTTTGCCCTCGGCAAATATTTTTTTTTATTTTTTAAAAAAAACCTTTGCCGAGGGCATCCTCCCTAGCCCTCGGCAAAGAAATTTTCAGGATTTTTTCTAAAAAAATCTTTGCCGAGGGCTATTGCCAGGGCCCTCAGCAAAGGTTTTTTTTTTAAAAAAAATTGTTTGCCGAGGGCCGGCCCTCGGCAAAGAAATGGTTTTTTTTTATTTTTTTTTAAAAACCTTTGCCGAGGGCCTGCTCCCTGGCCCTCGGCAAATAAATTTTCAGGATTTTTCCCAAAAAATCTTTGCCGAGGGCTATTGCTAGGGCCCTCGGCAAAGGACCCTTCTTTGCCGAGGACCTTGGTCATTGCCCTCGGCAAAGAGGCAGAAATTAAATTTTTTTTTTTTTTGTATTCCATCGACACAAGCATTTCATATATATACATATATATATATATCACACAGAATCCATTTTCTCACAATATATCACAACCATAATTGTGAACCACAAATCACAATATATTACAACGACAAGTCACATGTTCATCATCATTCACATGTTTATTACGATAAGTTCATGAAATCCAAGCACAAGTCAGAACCATAAACCACAAATATTACAATAAAGTCCAACCACATCACCTAGCACGAGTCTTCATCAAGGTAGCCTATGAGACGATGGTGAAGGAAAGGCGGGATCAGCGGTGACGCACTATCGGGATGATTGAAACCCGTGGATAAAGGCTGCACAAAGGAACAAAGATTGCATGTGTGAGTAATCCAAGAAAACAGTTTTAGAACCGATTGCATCTAGTAATCTAGTGATCGACGTGCTAATCAAGACGCTGCATTCTCCGGAGCTGCGGTGCTAAACTGGCTCTCCTGTCCTGTGTCAGGTGGTCGCCGACACGCCGTAGAGAGCCCGGGCAGGTGCCCAGGGTCGCCGGGCCCTGGGTCCTATGCAGATTACCATGGAAGTATGAAACTGTAGCTTTTACCTTTCCTCAAAAACTGCAGCTTATACCAATTGCTGGTTGTTTTTCGTTGAAGTGGGACCCTGAACATTGCATGACAGAAGTGTAGTCATGACGCATACCAACTGAAAATGAAAGGGAATTTTCTCTAATGTCATTCGTTAAAACTTGTATCTTTCATCTGTCACTAAAAAACTCAAATCTTATCGATGCCACTACATATAAATTTCAATCTCTTTCACGCCATTACTTATCATATTCTGATAGTCTTGGCCAATAGACATCGAAAAAGCCAAATTACCCTTCTTCTCAGGACACAAATTTAGTTGTTTTCTTTTATGCTATCTTTTGTGGCTAAACAACTTAATCGAAAACTCAAATGTATCATTTCGAAAATTTAAAAGTATAAAAGCTATGATGTCCGATACCAGAAAAAGCTATGACGTAGTTATTTTTTGAAATAAAAAAAAAGAGTTAAAGGACTGAATATGTGCTTTTTGCAGTGGTCAATATTTGTAGTAAATGTGAATAAAACAATAACAGCTCAAGCAACAGTATTCTACCAAGTAAATACAGCTAAAACTTGCTAGTATGGAAGGTAGCTCAGCTTACAGAATTTTGGAGGACGTCTCTGTTCTCCTTGAGTCAATTGATGTCCTGTGCCAGAGGCGTAGTAGTCGTACAACAGCTTCAAGAGATTCTGAGGCATTACGCATGAATAAACATTGTAAGGAAACACATCAATCGAAGTGATTACGACTACGCCAAGACGGAAAATAATAGCCCTTGTACAGGATTGTTGGTAAGAAGACGCACACATGGGCAGGAACCAGGCAAGCTGAGTCCAAGAAAATGATATTTAACTTTTTTACAAGAGGATCAGCAGGAGCACTCACAGGTAGGGATGAAAACGGATCGGATACGAACGGATATCACTCATATTATATTTGTTTTCATATTTCTGTTCGGATTCGGATTCGGACACGGATAGCGTTCGGATACATATACGAATACGGATTGACTCGGTTACGGATACGAATAATGAGTATCGAATACGGTATGAATCGGATTCGGAGAAGGTCGGATACAAATATCTATTCGGATATTGAGTAAAAGCAGCATATATATATATATATATATATATATATATCATACGTGCGCAAACCATTACACCACTCTATGAGTCCATAATCCATCTAGATTAAGCCGAAAGACTAAAGAGTAAAGCAACAAATAAGATAAAGATACATATACATCATACATCAAACATCATATAAGCACCAATCTTCGCGGCATGAGTAGAAATAGCCAAGCACATTGCTTCATGGGTCTCATGGAGTCATGGTCATGGATTCAAGATCTACAATCCTTATATAGGCCATTTTTTCATTTTGAGAAAGTTTGAACAAAATGTAGTTCAAATTTCACAAGTGTGTGACATAGTTTTAGAAAGTCTATATGAGATTTAAGAATTTATGACTAGTGTTTGATAAAACTTTCTCAAATGGGAAAATGAGCTATGTAACAATTGTATATCTTGCTGAGATGATCAAACTTGATATTCAGAGTTTTTTCATCTGAGGTCATTTAGTGTCTCATTTGAGCAAGTTTGACCAAGTCAAATTTGGTCAAATGAAAAAACAACACTTTGACTCTAATATTATGAACTCTAAATGACTTTAAATTGAAAAGTTTTGAATACCAAGTTTGTTCAACTCATCAAGATCTACAATTCTTGTTTTGGTCAACTTTCCATTTGAGATAGTTTGGACGGTTCAAATTTGTGATTTTTAAATTTCGATGCTTACAAACTAGTTTTCGGAACCCTAGATTGTCTCAAATTGAAAAGTTTTGAATACCAAGTTTGTTCAGCTCATCAAGATCTACAATCCTTATATAGGCTATTTTTTCATTTGAGAAAGTTTGAATAAAATGTAGTTCAAATTTCATAAGTGTGTGACATAGTTTCAGAAAGTCTACATGAGATTCAAAAATTTGTGACTAGTGTTTGATAAAACTTTCTCAAATGGGAAAATGAGCTATGTAACAATTGTATATCTTGCTGAGATGATCAAACTTGGTATTCAGAGTTTTTTCATCTGAGGTCATTTAGTGTCTCATTTGAGCAAGTTTGACCAAGTCAAATTTGGTCAAATGAAAAAACAACACTTTGACTCTAGTATTATGAACTCTAAATGACTTCAAATTGAAAAGTTTTGAATACTAAGTTTGTTCAACTCATCAAGATCTACAATTTTTGTTTTGGTCAACTTTCCATTTGAAATAGTTTGGACGGTTCAAATTTGTGATTTTTAAATTTCGACATTTACAAACTAGTTTTCGGAACCATAGATTGTCTCAAATTGAAAAGTTTTGAGTACCAAATTTGTTCATCTCATCAAGATATACAATCCTTATATAGGCCATTTTTTTATTTAAGAAAGTTTGAACAAAATATAGTTCAAATTTTATAAATGTGTGACATAGTTTCAGAAAGTCTACATGAGATTCAAGAATTTGTGACTAGTGTTTGATAAAACTTTCTCAAATGAGAAAATGAGCTATGTAACAATTGTATATCTTGCTGAGATGATCAAACTTGGTATTAAGAGTTTTTTCATCTGAGGTCATTTAGTGTCTCATTTGAGCAAGTTTGACCAAGTCAAATTTGGTCAAATGAAAAAACAACACTTTGACTCTAGTATTATGAACTCTAAATGACCTCAAATTGAAAAGTTTTGAATACCAAGTTTGTTCAACTCATCAAGATCTACAATTGTTGTTTTGGTAAACTTTCCATTTGAGATAGTTTGGATGGTTCAAATTTGTGATTTTTAAATTTTGAATAAATATCCGGATAATATCCGTTTTTAAATATCCGGATATATCCGATACTTATCCGGATTATCCGATATCCGCCGGATATCGATGATATTACATCCGTATTTGATATCCGCCTAAGATATCCGTTTTAGTATACGTATCCGGAAAAAAAACCGGATATCCGAGTAACTATCCAGATAAGTGTTCATATTTGTTCGGTCGAACGGACGGTCGAATAAATATCCGTACCGTTTTCATCCATACTCACAGGGCACGACTGGTCAAGGCTACATGATAGTGGTGGACGGGAGTGAGGGATGGTGGAGCTGATTGCAATATTGATGGCCCATGGCTGTGAGGGACCGAGGCGGTGGTGGCAGACCAGAGCAGCGGCGTCTGTTCAGGAAGGCGGATAATGGTCGAGATAATTTTTGGATCAAGAGCTACATTCTTGGCTCTCATTTCATGTATCAATTTCAGAACCTTGTTTATCTGGCCTTCAGCACTATAGCCTTTGATCAGTGAATCAAATACAGCAACAACAGGCACAAAGCCACTTGCAGTCATCTGTTTAAGCACCCTCTCAGCTTCTTCTAGGTCTCCTAATTTTGCATACATGTTGATTAGCATTGAATATGTCACGGCATCCGGAGCCAGACCCTCAACAAGCATATCCTTAATCAACTGTTTAACCATTTTCGTATCCCCTGATTTGCAAGCGCCATGGATCATTGTGCTATATGCGACAGCATCGAGCCCGCAGTTCTTATCCATTTCATTGAACAGAACCATAGCTTGCTCCATCATTCCCTGTTGACACATAGCTGCAAGCAAAGGAATATAGTGAAATAGCTCGGCTTTTATCCCATGTTGCCTCATTGTACGCAAGAACATTTCCGCACGGTCAACTTCCCACATCTTGCTGAAGCCATTTATCAATATGCTATAGGTGAATGAATCAGGTTCCAATCCAGAACTAGCCAGCTCATCCATTAAGTTCATAGCCATCTTAACCTTGTGAACCCTAAGGAATCCACCAATCAGATAATTGAAAGTCACCAAGTTACACATACACCCCCTCTCGGCCATCATCTCACGAACTTTGACTGCTTGTCTCATCCGACCGATCTTACATAGTCCATGTATAATTGAGTTGAAAGTCACCACATCAGGCTCAACTACAGTATCTCCCTGAATCATCTCCTCAAGCAAACCCATTGCCTCATCCATCTCAAGCACACCAGAAAGCCCTGCGATCAGGGTATTGTATGTCACAACATCCGGTGCCACACCCTTGTCATCCATCTCCTTCCTCAATGCAAGCGCCTCCCTTACCGATCCTTCCTTGCACAGGGAATTGATGAGCACATTGTATGTTACTACATTTGGCTCCAGCCCCCGCTGCACCATCATGTCCTTCACCTTTGCAGCCTTACCCATCCTTCCCTCTTTACACAAGTCATCGATTAAACCAGTGAACATGATCACATCCGGTTCGATCCCCTGGCGGGACATTTCTTCAAACACCTTGCCTACATCCCGCCACCTGCCGGACCTGCAGTACCCACGAAGCAAGCAGCTGTACACGACCACGTTGGGCTGAACACCACTCCCGCACATCTCAGCCAGCAGCTCCAACGCCGGGTCGAGCTCCAGCGGCGTCGCAGAGCCCACGGACGAGCGTGCCGTGACGTGGCGATCGCGTCGGCGCAGACGCCGCTGGCCTGCATGGACCGGAGCAACGCGACGGCCTCCCCGTCTTGGGCGCGACGCGCGCAGAGCCCCCGCATGACCGTGGTGTAGGACACGGCGTTGGGGGGGGTGTGTCGGTGCGCCTCCTGCGACATGTCGGCGAGGGAGGAGAGCGCTGGTGCGGTGGTCGCCACCGCCACGCTACCGGGCGGCGAGAGCGTGGCGAGGACGGTGTTGTAGGAGACGGCGTCGCCGGCGTCCGAGAGCGCGAGAGAGGAGGGAGGGCCTCGGGACGGGCGCCCATGAGGCGGTAGTTGAGGAGCGCCGCGGCGTCCGCGCGCCCCGCGGAAAAGCACGGCGAGCGAACGTGCAGCATGGGCGGCTTCGGGGACGAGGAAGGCGATGGGGGCGGCAGGTGGGCGGGCGAGGCGGAGGCGGTGTCCAGCGCCCAGACGAGACGGGGCTCCAGGCGCTTCCTCATGGCGGGGCGGCCGGGCACGGGGCGGCGGTGGGGCGAGCAGCGGCGGCGGCGCGCAGAGGCGTATGAAATGTGGGCAGGGATTTTGGGCCAGGCCGCTGGCCGATTTAGGGTTGGGCCCTTTGCCGAGGGCTCAGATCCAGGGCCCTCGGCAAAGATTTTTTATTTTTTTTTAAATTTTCTTTGCCGAGGACAATTGGTCAGGCCCTCGGCAAAGATCCCCTTTGCCGAGGGCCAGGCTAGGCCCTCGAGAAATGTTTTTTTTTGGTTTTTTGAACCCAGTCTTTTTGTGGTGCTATAATACATTATTTAAAACTAAATTTTAAAATTTGGGCTAATTTTGACTTTTTTTATATATTTCCCTAATTTATTTCTTTTCGTTGATTTTTTTCGAATATTTCAAATTTAAACTGCAGGTGAATGGAATAATGCAATTTAGTGATTCAAAAAATATTATTCATGGTATTTGGTGTATGTTGAATCCCTATCCACGAACTCGCATCAAATTTTGGTCATCTTCTTCACGTAACATGACGAGGAACTTGTCGGAAAAGTATTTTTAAATTATATAAAATCCATACGAAGTCCGAAAATCACAAAACTTGTCGAGGTGTCATGTTATCGCATGTGTAGGCTATGGTAAAAAAAATTAGAAGGTTTCGAGCAAGTTGTGACGTCGGATGCCTAAAACCCAGACATCTCCACACGTGATTACATGTGGAGATGTCTGGGTTTCAGGCATCCGACATCGCAACTCGCTCGAAACCTTCTCAATTTTTACTACAGCCTACACATGTGATAACATGACATCTCACCAAGTTTCGTGATTTTCGGACTTCGTATGGATTTTATATAATTTTAAAACACTTTTCCGGCAAGTCGGTCGTCATGTAACGCGAAGAAGATGCGCGAAATTTGATGCGAGTTCGTGGATAGGGACTCAACATGCACCAATTAACATGAATAACATTTTTCGAAACACTACATTGCAATATTCTATGTACCTGCAGTTCAAATTTGGCATATTCGAAAAAAATCAAAGAAACAAAATAAATTAAGAAAATATATACAAAAAAAGTAAAAATTGACCCAAATTTTAAAATTGAGTTCAAAACAATGTATTGTAGCACCACAAAAAAACTGGGCTAAAAAAACAAAAAAAAATCTTTGCCGAGGGCCTAGCCTGGCCGTCGGCAAAGGGCTTCTTTGCCGAGGGCCTCGCCTCAGGCCCTCGGCAAAGACGATTTATAAAAAAAAATTTGGCCGAAAAACTGGTTCCAAAAAAAATCTTTGCCGAGGGCCTAGTCTAGGGCCCTCGGCAAAGACTTTTTTTTAAAAAAAATTTGCTAAAAAACTGGTTTCACAGGAAAAAAAAAACCTTTGCCGAGGGCCTAACGGGTGGCCCTCGGCAAAGCTTGACGGGAATGGCCGCCGTGACCCAACGGGCCCAATTTGCCGAGGGCATCTTTGCCGAGGGCCGCAGCCCTCGGCAAAGATTTGATTTGCCGTGGGCCTGTCTTTGCCGAGGGCCGGACCCTCGGCAAAGGCCTCTTTGCCGAGGGCCGTTCTTTGCCGAGGCTCCTGTGGCTGGCCCTCGGCAAAGAGTGTCTTTGACGAGTGCCCGAGATTTGGCCCTCGGCAAAGCCTCAGGCCCTCGGCAAAGCACGCGTTTCCAGTAGTGTACAGATATAATAGCTACCAACTAATGTACTAGCTACAGCTACAGGAATTGGTCGCAGAGTCGATCAGCCCCCAGCTCCCAATATGGAGTGGTCGGCCGAGCCGACCAGTCTCCAACCAAAGAGAGAATGGGGAGCAGCAGATTATGTCTAACAGTAGCACAGTGGCATGACTTTGAGAAACTTGTTCATTACGAACGTGTCATCAATGGTCTCGAGCGCATGTAGATTTGTGGCAAGGATGGAAATTCACAACGCAAACTCATCGACAACCTCACCTTCCTTGAATTTGATCGTCTCGAACTCCTTGAGGAGCTTCTAGGCGTTCACATCCTTGACCCGATCATCTGTAAGATGCATCATATTCACAACTTCCCATGCCTCCTTGGCAATCTTCTTGATGGCTAGTGTCGAGTGCATCTTTGGTGGCACAGCACGTATCAGCGCCGCTAGAATGAGCTGGTCTTGGTGCCTCTCCACCTTCGATGAGTCGATCGTATCCCAACTCTAGGATGATCTACATGAAGACAACCCACTCATTGTAGGGTTCGCATCAGCATATCACAAAGCCAAGCTTGTCCCCGTCGCCTTCATCGCTTTCTCCATCGCAGCATTTTTGCTGCTGCTGTTGCTCATTTGCTATCATTGCAGGTGCGGATCTTCTTGTCAAGGGAGAATGCATCTCGAAGTGTGAGTCCCCCTGTCGTGGGTCATGCATAGTCTGGCTCTGATGCCACATATTGGAGCCGACCTTGGAGTTCAAATCGGATTGGCATTTGGTGACCTCGATGTACTACAAACTCAAATGGCATGATGAATACAATGCACACGAGGGAGAGAGAGGGTGGATTTTGCGTTGCTGAACTTGCAACCTTTTGGTCTTTTCTTGACGCATTTATACAAAGCAAACATGCGGTGTATGGGCTTTGAGTGCCCGGTTCCAGCGCCTCGATGTCCATGGTGTGCAACATGCTTCGAAGAGACTTCGTGGCACAACCTGAATGCTAGAGACTTAGATCACACCATGAACATGCATGGCTCTGATCATGATTTGCTGCATGCATCTAACCATACCACCATATTAATGCAAAAATTCCTTCACCACGCGTTGGACGATCATCTCTAGGCATCCATGGCGCTGCCCAGTGCCCACACCTTGGTTGCTTGGAAGGGGAACGATGACGGCAGGTGCGCACCATGGTGGGTTGCAGCTTGGACCAACTACCTATCAAAGCTGTCGCCATGGATCACTCTGAAACAGGGATACCAAATGTTAGTATTTCAGAAGGTAGAGATTATAAGTCTGTTGCTGAACCGACCTTATGCAGCTTAGCTACAGTACAATTTGACTGCCTTTACTAGCTGTCAGTACTACTTCTTAGGTAAGGAAAAAATGAACCAACTACATAACTATTGCCACAGTTGTCAGAGTATTCCAAACTCAACTTGATCTAATGATCTCTTTCCCGATAGCCTGCATTGTACCTTACTAGCTAAGAAAGGAGAACTGGCCTTACATGTTGGGCTGGCTCTAAGGGCAGTGCGAGAGGTATGACCGTCTAGGGACTACAGCCCATGCCAAGGAGTCCAAGACCTCATATATTCAGTGCTATGCATATGTGTTGCAGCACACTAAAGTGAGGCCCACATGTATAGCCATCCAGGCACCAGGCAACCACAAAGGTGAAAGGTTACAAATATTGAATGATAGATGGACCGAGTGGATTCATCGACGACCCTTTTCTCTTGTTAGAAGCAATCCATAATTTCATATCATCAAGTGCCACGACAAATCATGCTTATCACTTTGTCAGAAAAAAATCACTCATCACCTCACCTTCGCCTTGTGACTCCATTTGTTGTTAGCTCGTCGCTCAAGAGCTTGTCGGTGTCCATATACATGGCTGTGCTTTTTCTCCATACTCTCCCACTTCTGGTTTCTGATCATTTACTCCATTCCTTTGGGGGAGAATACAATTATAACGTACTATCGAGTTAAACCATTCTGAGGTTGACCATATTTTTATGTTGACATTTTCTATAATCTTGGTTAAACTTTACAAAGATTGATTAAGGTTGGAGCTAGAATGCATCCTTTTTCGAATGGAGGTAGTCTTTTGTATGTTAACTAGTCCATATTCAAGTGCTTATTTGGTTAGGACGTTAGCATGTTAGAATGTTAGGATTTTTGAACTTTTAGCTGTAGTATTGACACCACAAAAGGCATTATTGCATATGGACAACATTGATCAAATCACTAAACCAATATTGTTATTACAGTCAGAGCTTGTTTCTTTTTTGAGGTAACTATACTAGTTTCATTTTGTTGTTCTCTTAGTCTGCTTGTTGTAATATCAGTGTTGTTTTTAAAGAACCAAATAAATCTTTCAATTTACTACTACAACTACTACTACTACTGCTAGCTGCTGTTCTTCTTCTTCTTGTTGTCTGCTTTATCATGTTAAAACAAAAATAAATCTAAAGGTCCACAGGACCCATTCGTCCAAGGGCCTCAAAACTATAGAGCCGGCCTGTTTACATGTCGGTAGCTAGGTTAAATTAAAGAGCAATTAACCAATACTAGTACTAGCTAGATAAGCACAAGGATCATATCTATCATTGTCCTGCTGTACACGGTCAATTTTATTGTTGGTACTCACAATCACAACCGGCTGGTATGTTGCACTCTTGAACATCATATAGTGCTGCGCGTGAGCCCCTGATTTAATTTGAGGGTGTTTGCCGATTCAGGTACTGCCATCTCTTCACCAGTTTATTTCAAGCGTGCTCGCCCTTTATGTCAGCTCTAAATTTTACTCACTGTCGTTATTGAATTTGGACCTTATGTTGTTTTTCTGGTGTGTATAGAGTACGCAGCAGCTCTGCCACAAACCCATACAGAACTGCAGCAGAGCAATGGAGTTGGCACCGTTGAGTTTGGGCAAGTCCGTGCTGAGTGGAGCACTTGCCTACGCGAAGTCTGCCATTGCTGAGGAGGTGGCTTTGCAGCTCGGCATCGAGAAAGACCACACATTTGTTGCAGATGAGCTTGACATGATGATGTCCTTTATGATGGAAGCGCATGAGGAGCGAGATAGCAGCAAAGTGGTCGGTACCTGGGTGAAGCAAGTCCGTGACACGGCCTATGACGTGGAGGACAGTTTACATGAGTTCGCAGTTCATCTGGAGAGGCCAGCTTGGTGGCGATTCCCTTGCACACTGGTTGCGCGGCACCGTGTGGCCAAGCAGATGAAGAAGCTAAGGGCCAAGGTCGAGGAAGTGAGCCAGCGGAATGTCCGCTACCGTCTTATCAAGGGCTCAGGCTCCAAGACCTCTGCTGCCGAGCAGTCTTCCAGTACTGCTGCTGCCATGTTCGGCATTGACGATGCAAGGCGTGCCGCGAAGCAGGACAACCAGAGAGTGGATCTTGTCCAACTGATCAACGAGGAGAACGAGGACCTTAAAGTGATTGCGGTGTGGGGTACATGTGGTGATATCGGCCAAACATCCATCATCAGGGTGGCTTATGAGAACCCGGGCATCCAAAACAAGTTCCCAGTGAGAGCATGGGCGAGGGTGATGCATCCTTTCAGTCCAAAAGGTTTTATCCAGAGCTTGGTCAATCAGTTTCATGCAACTGAAGGGGTTGAAGCCCTGTTGGAGGCAGAGAAGTCAGACCAAAGATTAATTCAGGAGTTCAATGGCTATGTGAAGGAGAATAGGTTTTTTATTGTGCTTTCTGACCTATCCACCATTGAAGAGTGGGATCTGATTAAAAAATGCTTCCAAAACAACAAGAAGGGAAGCCGGATCGTAGTATCAACAGCACAAGTTGAAGTTGCAAGTTTATGTGCCGGGCAAGAAAGCCAAGTGTCAGAGCTAAAGAAATTGTCTGCTGATCAAACCCTTTATGCATTCTATGACGAGGTAATTTTTCCTGCTAGAGATCGTCTCATTAGTATTGTACCTCTTGGTTCCTTCTAATTCAGCTACCAACATTTTAAAACATTAGCCACAAATATGTATACAAGGATTTACATTTGTCAAAACAAGCACATCTGTACCATGAAATGTCTGTTAGAAAAAAAAAGCAATGGTCATATACAGGTTTACAAGAGAATTGTGGTATAAGGGGCAAGTAAACGTTCTGTTTTCCTTATCTACCATTGCAATTGCTGACATCCCTTCAGTGTCGTTGGTTTTAAATTCTAATACTTTCTTATATGCCAAGGTTTATTAACAGTCACTTCTAGAGAAAGTAATAATGTTAATTGATCAGCAAGAAATGGATGACTAGTGCTCATACTTGTTTTTGACAAACAACTATCATCACCACCTGTGTGATGATATGTAACCAAACAACTTGTATAACTATATAACGGGCCGGTTTTTGGGCCAATATATAAATCAGGTGGGGAACGCCTCCCCCCCTTTGAAATTCAAAAAAAAATGTTAATTGTATACATGGGAATAAGGGATATGCCATCATAAAATGTGTCGGATAGAGACGGAGGTAGGAGATAGACTGGCAGATTGAACCACTGAATTTACATATAATGTAGTAGAGTGGAAGGCTTATTTGTACAGTTATAATTTTGAACCTCCTTTTTACAAACAATGTAGCTATGGAATATTTCATTTCATATTTAATTAGCAGATCAATCATTTGTAGATATGTTTCCCTCTCTCTGACCGAGATGATTGGCACTTGAAAGGTGTGATAATCTAGCAAATATACCCTCTGTTATCCTTAATTTGGGTTAAGTGTAGTTAAACTTACACCCTTCTTAAAATAAGTACTTAGCTAATTTAACAATCAAATCTAATGTTTGAAAATTAGGGGTCCAGGTTCACCAAATAAGGGTTAGACTTGAGTGGAAACAAAATAAAGAAATATGAATAATTATTTTATATAATTTCGGGACTGAAAATATTGGTTGTCTCCAAGAAAATTGAAGGCTAAAATCCTGTTCCTAATTGTTGTTCCTTTCTTTCAGGGTTCCCAAAATGTAAAGGGTTTGGTGAAGCCAGTGTGCAGCCCAGATGATGAAATAACAGAGGTTCAACCTATGGATTCTGGTGAAATAGTACAGGTTGAACCTACGGATGCTGAGCGAAAGAAGGTGGTTAGGAGGAGTTCTGCCAGGACTAGTGTTGGTGCTTTGGAATCCCAGCTTATTGGGCGAGAGAAACAAATGACAGAAATTATTGAGGTAGTATTAAACAAGGATAGCCAGGTGATCTCTGTGTGGGGAATGGGTGGTCTTGGAAAAACCACACTAGTCGGCGGTGTTTATGAAAGCCCAGAGATGAGTGAAAGGTTTGAGAAGTGTGCCTTTGTCACTATCGCACGTCCTTTCAATCTTGCAGAGCTCCTTAGGAGTTTGGTTTTGCGACTATGTCAAGAAACTAAAAATAAGGAACAACTGATGGAAAAAAGAGCCACAAGTAAGAACTTAATAGCATCGATGGGAATTGAAGAATTGAATGAGCAATTGAGAGCACTTTTAGAAAAGAAGACCTGTTTGATTGTTCTAGATGATTTATCATCTACTACAGAATGGGACATGATACAGCCGATGTTCCTTTGGATGAAAAAGACAAGCAGAATTACTGTGACTACACGGGAACACAATATTGCCAACCATTGCTCAGGGAAAGATGGAACTGTGTACAACCTCCACGTTCTTGAAGTTGAGGACGCACTAGACCTCTTCAGCGAGAAGGTAATACCAATGTGTTCCATTTTACTGGGTTTGAAATAGGAATATTAAATTCCATATCATAGGTGAAGTAGCATTATTACAGCAATACTAGTTACCCTAGTGTTCTAAAGGTTTTAGGGATGGTTATGACATTATATGTTTGGGCTTGGGCTCATGCAGACCTTTCACAATGGAATTGCAAACTATTTTATATCATTTTATTCATTTGATTAATCCACAAGAATTACCAATGCTGTCTTCTTCGGCACACTCTGCATATTCATTCATATATAGTTAAATTTGTGCTTCACAATTTAGACACAAGCACATAGAAATAGCACAACAATATATCCAGAAATAGCGCTACACTAGATCAGGAAATGGCAACCATGTAGGCATATTGTCCGAGGCCTCAGAACTCAGGAGCACTCCCTAATTTGGTTATTGCAAGGCCTTTGTTTTGTTCTCATGTTGAAAACTACAAAGAGAATCTGAGTAGTTTAATGATCTGCATTGGATGGATGTTAGATGTGACATTGTTTTTTTATGGAACAGCCATCATTCCCTATTTTATTTGTAATATAAAAGAAATATCATTCTGATAGTAAGCTAGGTAATCAATCTTTACTTTGTAGTACTCAAAATCTTAAATTGTTGTAATATCAGGTATTTCGGGAGGCTGGATATTTGGCTCAGCACAAGAATTCTGAGTTGGTTAAAGAAGCAGAAAAAATCTTGAAGAAGTGCGGTGGACTTCCCCTCGCAATTGTTGTCATTGGTGGTTTCTTGGCAAACCATCCAAAGGATCCAGAAGAGTGGCCGCCACAATTATGGTCGTGAACAGTACCCGCTTCACGGTAGCGCTGTAGTACTGTAGCCCGACCGTCGCCGCCTCTCCCTCAACTCTCTCCCTCTCAATCCTCCAGCCACATAACAATCTGGTATCTGAGGTCTCTGGTTCGATCATGTCCAGCCCTCTACCGAGTTCTTCCCACCCGCCGCCGCCGCACACCCACCCGTCGCCACCAGCATCTTCGTCGGCGCTGCTGCCCCACACAGCAGGCGCGCCGGCATTAGGCGCGCTGGCGTCCTCAGGGGCGATTGCGCCCTTTGTCCCGGCGCCTTCCGCCCTCGTCCTCACCCCGGAGCAGATGACGGCCGCAATCCTGGAATTAGGGCAAGTCGTGGCGGGCATCAGGGCCTTCCTCGCCTTGCACTACGGCTGGCTAGGCTATGGGACGACAGTCGTCTCCATAACCGACGCCCAACAGATCCCAGTCACGGGTGAGAAGTTGCAGCAGATCGAGCCGCCGATGGACATCGCGATGACGTTGGCGGGGAAGATGCTTACCCGCCAGGTGTCGGCTGCGGTGCGGCTGCAGGCTGCTACACGCGACCTCCTAGCACGTCGGCGGGTGTGGGAGATGCGCGATCTGCAACTGATTCAGCCCTGCACTCCTTCGCAGCTCCTCCAAGTTGCGCTGCGCGGAGGACCTCGATCTCGTCCGCTGCGTCGGGGATCTCGGGCATGCGGTTTCCTCCAAGGGCGGCGGGCATGCTATTTTCCCTATGGGCGGCGGTTGGGGAGTCGCATCCCTCCATCTCGTTCTCCATTGAAAGCCCTCCGCTCTTCTCTGTGCGGTGCAGACCAGCAGCCGTCTGGCGGGGAGAAGGCGTGGGGTCACCAGCGAGAGCGCACCGCGTAGCGCCGTCGCATGGTCGCTGTTGCGACCACTTTTAGGTGGCCATACATATGTACCCATTTCGTCTAGATGGTGTCCATGGGATCAAGGAGGCTGTACACATGCAGGTTTGGCGTGCGGATGGTGTCCACCTTATGTTCAGGAGTAAAAAATAAAGAGTCTCAGTCCATTTCAGGTTGAGAATAATAAAATAAGCCAAGATGTAAAAGGCTTGTTTTTAGGTGTTAGGAGTCGAGTCAGCGTTATAAGGTTGTTAGGTTGCAGCTCGAGGACGAGCTGCATGTTCAGGTGGGGTGTAGTGTTAGAGTACGTCAGGGGCCTATTGAGCCTGGGTTGGCTGTATAGCCCATTAGTGTTAGGGTTAATTAGAGATAAGGGTCGCTTACTTAAGGGTCAAGTAACCCTTACTTGATAGTCAAGTAAACCTCTCTATATAAGGAGATGAGATGTATCGATCTAACCAAGCAAGAATTAAGAAGGAAGTCCCTTCCCTCTTGCTCGGCCGTGGGCAAGGCCCCCGGCCGGCCTCCAGCCTCCCTCGCAGCCCTAGCCACCATAATTATGGTCATGAACAGTACCCACTTCACTGTAGCGCCATGGGTAATGTAGCCTGACCGTCGCCGCCTCTCCCTCAACTCTCTCCCTCTCAATCCTCTGGCCACGTAACAAGATCATTTGCATATATCACTAGAATAGTATGAGCAATCAGACAATTATATTTGTTAATCACTAGAATAATATGCGACTTCTTTCAGTTTTGACGTAGATTGCTATACATTATAAGTGATGCGACTTCTTTCAGTTTTGACGTAGATTGCTATACATTATAAGTGATGTGCTAATCATTTATAAGATTTGGAGGAATAGTTTCCCTGTTTTCTCATGGATTGCAGCAAGACATGAATGCTTATTGTTTGAAAAATGAGTCACTTGATTCCAGAACTTAATCCGCATAGAAAATTATATTGTCTCATTCTGCATAGTATATCTATTCATGGTACTAATTTTGTATATCTATTTACTGGTGCCAATTATACCATGCAGCAAAATTGTTGAGACACGCAAGCAAGCTGATCCGGTAGCATGACAGTCATGTAGTCCAATGACAACAATGGCAATGGTGGACACGAGCCCCACTAAGAGTTTCAGCAGTCACAGTGCCACGAGAAGAGAGGAAACATTACCGGATGGTACAACACTATCCAGATTAGTACTACTATATATATAATAAATTGGACACCAATTTCCATATTGACTTAGTCCGTAAAGATGGCCGTGGCCTAAGGGCTGTGGGTAGTTGGCGCAGTAGAGGTTTGTCTTCTGACGCCTCTATCTGCCATCTACAAGTCGGATCAGAAGGTTGTTTCGTCGTCGCGAGTCAGGTTCAGTTGGGCCCTGCGTGGCTGTCTGGGGGCTCTCAAGCCCATGTATCTTACAGAACTTGTTTCATAGTTGCCTGCTGGCCTCGTAGCCTTCGACACTAGATTTGCAGGAACTGTGGCTGAGTTGTGGGGGAGACTTCTTAGGCCTGCTGGCTTTGTTGCCTTCGGCCATTCCCCTTCTGCACTTGAGACATGCTGGTGTTGTGGACATCATCCCATGGTTTTCAGACTGTTCGTTATCAGGCTTTGCCAGCCATCAGTAGCGCCTTTAGCTTTAAATGGCACAAAAGCATTGCTCAATTCTGTGTTGGAATGTTTTTTTTTCGACAGGCGGCAACTGGTTATTGCCAGATTTTTATTAGACGAGGAATATATAAAAAAAACGGAATTACAGATTTACAAAAACGAGCCTATGCTCACCACCACTTTGGCACGCAGGCCGGCCACTCTACTCTGCACACAAAAGAGAAAAACCTGTGTTGGAATGTTAGAGGCCTAAATGATGCATGGGGCCAAAAATGCGAGCATGAGAAACCTTATTAGTTCTTCTGGAGATAGTATGTCTAAGGAGACAAAGATTGAGAGCTGGAATCAAACTCTTCTCATCGAGATGCTAGGTCCCAGAGGTTGCTAACAGCTACGCCGCTGCCCTACCCGCGGTGGGGGTAGCAGGAGGAATCTTGTTGGCTGTGTCGGAACGCTTCTTCCAGTTTACAAGATTGCTTTCTTGCAAGAAATTTCTGACCTGAGACAACACATGGAGGTTCGATGGCTGATCGTCATTGGGGATTTTAACTTGACCTACCGGGTTGAGGACAAAAAACAACCAACGTGTAAATTTTCAAATGCTAAATAGGTTCAAAAACACCATTGATAATTTGCAACTGGCGCCGTTAGAATTACATGGGAGACGTTTACATGGTGTAATGAACAACAAGATCCACGATCGATCATTTCCTTGCATCCGCGGAATGGCTAGAATTGTTCCCAAGAACAGACCTTTAGGCACTAGCACCATTGGGATCGGACCACTGCCCTTTGTTCCTGCAAGGCGACACTTCTTTCGATTTCTACCAGGGCTTCTGCTTTGAGGCATATTGCATCAACATGCTAGGATTTCTTGAGGCGGCAAAGTCGGCTTGGGAACAGCCGATTAGTACACAGAATGCAATGTTAGTATGCACGTAAAGCTACTGCGAACTGCAAGCGCTAAAGGTTTGGAGAAGAAAAATTTTAGCGAATGGAGGCTACAGTAAGCTCTGTTACAAATTATTCTCCTGGAATTGGAGAAAGCGCAGGAATGACTCAGCCTAACGGTTGATGAGCTGGAGTTCAAAAAGTATCTCAAAGCAAAATCCCTGCTTGGCAGTAATACAGAAGGCAAAAGCAAGACAACATTCTAGACTCATGTGGATCTGGAAAGGAGATTCTAACGCGCGTCTGTTCCAAATTCATGCAAATGCAAGAAGAAAGAAAACGTTCATTAATGCACTTCATAACGAAAACGGGGTTGCAATCTCTCAGCAAGACAAGATGAAAGTGGCAGTGGATTTCTTTAGAGTTGAAGTTGGATCAAATGCTCCAAGAACACCAAGCATAGACTGGGATGCGTTGGGACATACACCTTTTAACCTTGGTGAGCTGGATTCGCCATTCACGGAGCAAGAACTTTTTCAGGTGATAAAGGAACTGCCGTCTGAAAAAGCACTAGGACCAGATGGATTCATTGGAATTTTCTACAAAAAATGTTGGAAAATAATAAAATTTGACCTCCTGGAAGCACTCATGGGTTTCTACAACCACAGAACATCAAAGATGCATATTTTCAGCGAGGCGAATATAGTGCTTTTGCCAAAAAAAAAAAAACAGGAACCTACGTCCATCGCAGATTACAGGCCAATAAGCCTAATTAATAGCATCACCAAGGTGATCACAAAAATGCTGGCAACAAGATTGCCCCCCCCCACCCACATGA